AAAAAAAAAAAAAAAAATGATTAACCATATATGAAGGTAAGTTACAGTCAGAAAAAAGTTACAGTCAGGAAATATTGCTTAAATTTAAAAGTTAATTCCATTCTAAATACTTTAATATATTTTACTTTTTTGCATTTTTTTTATTCTAATTCAAAACTGATCTCTTAGGAATGAATCACAATGATGCATATTCTGTTAAGATGATAACTTTCAGGTCATGGAAATAAATCTCCAAATTGGACAAAAATAAATGTTTTTTTTATTTATATTTTATTTCATTTAAAAACAATAAACACTAGAGTTGCTTTTCATGAAATCAATCTATATTAATTTTTGATGCAATGATAATTAGCAGGAGCAAATTACCTTTAGGAACAGGTGGAACAGCAGCTTTGGGCCCTGCTCCAAAAAACTGCAATTTCTTCAACTCAGAATTGACCGAGTAATCAATATCTAATGACTCCTGAAACAGAAAGTTTCATATACTGACAAAAGTCTACAATTCTGAACCAATTTTACACAAATAAAATCTGAAGGAATATTATTACATTGCAAATTTTCTTATTCCCATGATGTGCAAGCTTTGACTCGATTTGTTGATATGTATTATTCTTTAGCGTAGTCCTGTACACAAAACTGAACATGGACAATAATATTATAATTTGTTTTCAAATTGCTCTTAAATTCTGACATGTTTAACAAACAAACCAAATGTCGGAAATCTACTGAATGCAGTTGAAAACAATGTTAAGTTTTATCAAGTTTTGACAAATATAAATCAGAGTCACTCCTTTATGTGGTACATTTTACAATGAAACCTCGAAAAATCTACATTTGTTCTCAGCAAAATTTGCCTCATACGAGACAGATGTACCAATGAATTTGAAGATCTCAAATATACCAAGAGACCAAAATGCATAACAAAAGTTGTGAGATAACAAATAGAGCCCTGTTGATTAATATCTTGTGGCTTTTCAAAATTAAAATCCAGGGGAAAAGCATGCATTATTTCCATAATTTCAAATCACTCATATCTGTGTCTTAATGATTTTTCACTTCTTACATACATAGTGAGAGTGATTGGGAAGCAATGTTAGTACTCCAAATGCGACTTTTAAGATTGTAATTGTTTTTGACAAATGAACTACGATTGCCTTCGGCTGATATCAGTACAATCAAGAACCTCACTCAAGTTTTAATAATACCTATAAAAAAAATATGAACTCTGGTAACATATCTCTGAATTTTATAGATAACTTATCATATCTAAACAAGGAAACATGCATTAACACAAATATATGAGGAAGGTGTTAATTTAGTTTTGTTAGCAAAAATATAAATTTGGAGGAACCAAGTACTTCGGGAGCAGATTGTTGTGCCTGGGTGCAGACCTCTTTCAGGGCCCTCTCTCTCTTGGGCAGGCGTCGGTAACTGCCTGCCGCAGATTTGGCTGCTATGCCATGAGGACGGTAGTCCTTATCGTCTTTGTCATCTTTGAATTCTTCTTCAACCACCTTTTCCTTTTTAGTCTGCTAAAATTTCCAAACAAATAGTTAGGTATAACGAATTAATCAACATTACCAAATTACTTTTGTGAGAGGTTTCATCTTTCGTCGTAAATTGTATTTCCCAAACTAGATGTTTTTTCTGTCAAAGACACTGGTTAATATAAAATTGTTGAAAGAGTTCCAGAATAAATATAAATGAAAGATTTTTCTTCTGATAATTGAAATAAGTTCTATGATATAATAACACAACAGTACATTATAGTGGTGTGCAACTGTCTGTTAAATCAAGATATACACAATCTTGTTCATATTCAAGGTCTCATACAAATAGACTTTCAATTGCTAGGAGCTTCCTTCTTATATTTTATAAAACTTTAACAACAAATCTTGCTTGAAATCATTAGTCCTTCATAAGTTAATATAGAAACATACTAATGTCTTTGTCTTTAGATCTTTGATGTCATTTTGTTCTTTTAAGTGCCATTTTCTTATCTAAAAGTACAAAAAATATATATATATGATTATTAAAACAAATGTACAAATACAAAAGTATTTTATGTTATTTTTCAGACCAAATTTTAGTCTACAAATTTCATTTCCTTCTTGTAGTGTCTTTCTGTTTATATCAAACATTGCAATAAATGTTTTCCCGAGAAGACCAGGGCCACCCTAAGACAAAGAAGTCTGCATCAAAGTATATAGAACTCTTGGTAGATTATACATATAGAAATTAACCTTGAACAGGGTTTAAACATCAATAATCACAGAGTTCAAAATAATATTACATTTTCAATTCATTTATAAATTAGATTCATAGCAAATCGTAGTTATTGCTTCCAATTTATATCTGAAGATCCAGTTTTTACTTCATTGAAGATGTATAAACTACATACCGCTTCATAGGAGTCACCCCTCATGAACAGGTAGAAGGGGTAAAGGATTCTTTCGTAGTGGCCCCTGAGAACAGCCCCTACACCTTTGCCGGATGGAAATCCCATCTTGGTGGCCACCTTGGACCACCTCCTTTCCTTGGACAGTATCTCCATCCCTCCAACATCCTCAACACACTAGGGGGAAAACAGCAAAATAAAACCATACAATGTATACGTACCTGGTCTATACATTTGTAACATATTTTTCTGTTGACGTCTAGCTCAGAAAATGTTACCTGCAAGAAGCAGATCAGATCCATGTATGATGAAATAGTAATGTGTTTAGACTATCTAGGAGAAATATTCTGTATCTTCATATTTAAATTTCATTAATATGCTGGTTGTCTGCTTGGATTAAGCCTCTTCACAACAAAAACTCTTGCTGTATTATAAGCTATCTCAAAGTATCCTATATAAAAGTATGTACATTTCTTTACTATATTATAAGAAAGTGAAACAGACTATAAAATTTGACATTTTTTTCGGTAAGTTACATCATATACTTACCTTGTACAACATGTACAAATCCAACAATTTCTTTTCAACATGAGGAATCTTAAGAGAACAGCCCTGTCAAAACAAATATAAAGTATTATTCTTTTTGTTCAAGTTCTTTAACAAAGTGATGTACAGAAAACATAATCTATAAAACATAGCTGTCAAACTGTCAAAATATTATCAATTTCAGTTTAAGTTGCGACGTTCAAGTGAAAACAAATGTAGTCAATACAATTAGTTAAAAAATCTTCAATATTCCATTGATGGAATTTGTTACCTCTTTTTAGAGCTATTATATATATAGTGAATTAGAAAATATACCCATATTCCATATGGTATGTGATAGTTAAATTCTAGTAAATGATAAATAATATACAATGAATTATATATCACATCAAACTCACCTGCAATTCCCAAAATCTGGCAAGCTTGTCCAAAAAGTTCAACTTGATTCTAGTTTGAGCCTTCAACCAAAGCAAAGATTATATTACACAAATATGGCACAGTCTTATGCTCACTAAATTCATAAATTGACATCTGGATATCATTCAAATACATTTACAATAATATCAACATCTTCATTGTACTTACTATGATAGTATATCATGAACCTACTACAGTATTTATAAATAAGGCTTAAGTAATATCTATATAGACTGATAGATGGTACATGAATTTTACATAGTTTTGACAGACAATTGATTGCATCATAACATTTTTTGTGTTGAATCGACATGAACTGTATATATAATTAAACTAGAATCTGTTCAAGATGATTGTGTAATTTTTAACAACCATGCAGAATATTTGCAGTTTTCATTCCTTTTAAATGAAAGAAAAATAAAATTTAATCTATGCAAAATTTCAAATAAAAGTAATATTAATGCATATTTTGTTTATTACTGTGTCAAGTATCCAATATCATAGATATGTATTTCCATTGTTAATAAAATGACTATCAATAATAGTCATTTGGACCGAAAAGTGATAGTGGTTGTATTAGCAACATATGTATACTGAAGTTTAAATTGTTGATATTCTTTTTATGTAATTCATGAGAAAATATCTTATTATTGTTGTAATATCAATACAATTGCATGGAGTTTTCTGTATAACAAGATGTCATTTTTTAATTGTTTCACTTTTATAATTTTTATAAACACAGAAGGTTTTCTTTTTTCTTAAATACAACTGTTTTTCTACACAGGTAAGGTCCAATATGAAAATGGATTTTCCTACATTTAACTCGCCACTTGCCTGAGCTGTAGCTTATATAAAATGGTCATAATACACTTACCTCTAGCTCATTGAGCCTTTGAACTCTGGGAGTAAATTTGAATTTATCCACATCAACTGCAAATGGTGGCTGCCAATCCTAAAAGAGCAAATAAAATGATGTAGAAAACTGTCTAAAATTCTGCCATATTTAAGAAATATGCATTCTATATTGTGGTAATATGGCTTCCTCCCTGATCCAGCTGGCAGCCATCTTGTTTTTACACATCTACTTCTCTCAACCCTCATCACACTTTTACCATTTTTGCTAATATCCTTTACACGAAAAGGACATAATTTAATATAATAATGATACCTAAATAATTCTAAAGACAAAATCATGCATTTTAGTATATTGTTATTCAGACAGAGAGTAAATTAAGCTTGTTTGGTGCACCAACTATTATCTTATTTCATTTAAATGTACTTTGTCCTTCTGTTTTATGAAATTTTAGTTGTGAAAAAAGGCAATTAGCATTAGAACATGCATGCATGATCGCTAGCTAACATAACAAAATGTTTTAAAAATCAACTAGCTATTCTGATTAAGTTTTAATTCATATTTATTGAAAATAGGAAATTCACCAATGTTCTAAAATGTGGACATATTGTGTTAAAATTTCACTTTATTTTGGCTAAATCTACTAAGAAAAGTTGATTAAAAGATATAAAATCTAAAACAAAACAAAAATGTGCAAAAATGGATATTTTAAGTACAAAATATTAAAAAAAAATGGAACTTTTTTTAGAAGGAAAACAAAGTCTCTTTTGAAACAAATCAAACTAGAATTTTGTCTCAATAAAACATAATTATATCCTCCAGATGATATGCTAAAAGCAGAGCGCTGATTGTAATTAATTAGTACAAAAAATAATAATTAAAAGATCATTTAAAAATAAAAATAAAAACCTAAAAATGATATGCAAATGTTGCAACTTCTGCACCTTTTTGAATTCTTCCTTACTCAGCAGGATTTTTTTTAACAAAACCTAAACCAGGTCACCTTTTCAATCAAACAAAAATCGACAAATCAATATATCATCAAATTATGAAAGTATTTCATTATTTTGTAGAAAGAAAATTGTTTTTAACTATCAAATTCTATTTACATATTTTTACATATATTTCTTAACAAAATGTTATATTTATATTATGATATCAATGACAATTTGTAATAGAAATTGCAATATTGCATTGTGCGTCATAAGTTTGTGTACTGCAGACTGGGCGTTCACGCAGGCTTCCATTAGGTTTGCATGCAAAACCCTCATCTGTGGTAGCATGAGACTTGCAGAATATTTGTTTCGCGAATAAATTGTTCATGGAAAACATGATATTTGTTTATTACCCTAACAAAAATTCATGCAATAAAGCAAAACTCAAAGAGACTGACATAGAACTGGTGGGGACAAAGAAAAACAACAGAAATCACATGAAACTGACAGCGACAAACTAAACAAAAGCGTCGCCATGTTTGCAGATTTCGATAGCACGTAGGCGAGTGTCATATCTTTATACGAGGTTTTCATAACCATGACGATTTAGAGAGGCTTTTGCTCATTACAAATCGAAAGCATATAAAAGAATAAAGTAAAACAGCAGAGAATAATAACAAACCGGTGGAGGTTTTATTTTACAGATCCCAGTTTTCTCGGCAATAGGTCGGATTTTGTCCAAGTATCCCAGCGGATCAGTAAACTCCTCCTCAGTTGGAGTGAAAACAGGTGCCTCCGGCGGCGGAATGAAACGGTTGTATGGGTCATCCGTCATGTTGGTTCATACACAAAACAAAGAAGTAGCTGACAATAATTTAAATATCATGAAATCATCCAAAACGGTAAGTTTGATATAAATCCATAGAAATGAAGGATAAATCCAATATGTGTACTGGTGCCTGCGAACACAGTAGCTTCCGATTGCGCATCAAAAGTAGTTCTTAACAATTATAGGTATAATTTGTACAAAACGTAATAAAAAGGTTTTTACTTTAGAAATTTAACATGATGTAACGTTTCATGCATTATAAAATGAATATTGAATACTTTTAGGTCAGTTTGTGTTAAACTCAAATGACCTCAAATATTTGCGGATGAATTTATCCATACAAGGTCATGGATTGGTCATTGGGACTTCTGGTTGTCTCGGACTGAATAATTTTAACTGAAAATATAACGTACATCTAATTTATTGACGATTGATTGTGATGTTTTCGTCAATATATTCAAATTCTATATTACAATATATATTTATTAACTTTTACTAAACACGGCTAAGTATTTATTTTCTGCGGACTGAATGTTAGCGGAAATTTCAAAATGGCGTCTGCTGTTGGAAAAAGAAGCAAAGGGTAAACATTACCACTGTTAGCGACATTTCAGGGTTATATTGATAGTTTAGCATAAGCCCTGATATCGGTTATCTATTATAAAATCTATATGTGCTGTTAATTATTTCGATCTATGGCTGGATCAACCTATATCAATGCATTTGAATGCACACACATGAACATAACGAGTTGAAACTTGCTTCGAATGATCAGGTCCAGTACACTCTGCCGATTGAGCTATATAGTTATAAAGACCTATATAGCTATATTCCCCTATACATTATAGCTGTATTGAGCTTTATTTTTTCAATTTTCATTAAATTAAAGCAAAGTCGCATAAAACAATAATGTTTATGGTAATGTTGACTACAAAAAGCATAAAGTTAGATGTTTATTTTCATTTTTTATAAATGTAAAATTTCCGATTTTTTTACATCATTAATTTCTTTTGTTATCAACCTAATGATACAATCTTCTTTTAATTTCAGATAGGTCGTTAGAGCTATTATAGGTCTTTACAGCTATATAGCTCAATAGGCAGAGTATATACTGGACCTGATGATGTTCTGCAATGTTATGGGCACTACCTGCATGTGAATAAAGCTCTTATATCTTGCGATTTCTGGTTTCTTAGTTTAAATCATACGGATCTATTTTCATTTTTAACTGGTACCAAACATGTTTAAGCCTCAACTTCCATTAGTATTTGACAGTTTGATATATTATTATTCCATTAGTATCTGCTTCCATAAGTATCTGCACTTGATAGGCTATTCAAAAGAGAGTGTTGAAATATATGTAACAATACACCAGGTGTGGGAGGCAGATTATTTGAAGAAGAAAATGGAATAATGGATAGATAACTGGTAGTCTTGGACTGTCTGGCAACACTCAGTGGTGAGGAACCAGAGCGCACTACTTTATGAAAACGTGGAATTATCCCAAAACGTTTGGTGTCAGAAAGTTTTTAGGTGCTGACAACATGTCAGAAAGTTTTTAGGTGCTGACAACAAAAGTCTGCAATATATGACACAACACATACTAATCTAATACTGAAAGTGACTAATCAGCAAAATGAGGCGGTCCAGAATTCAGTTTCGGTTCGGATCAATACGGTTGATTGATTAGTCACTCCAGTGTTTTTTGCATAATCTACAAAATGCCTGTCGTGAGCACCAATCCAGCCCCCAACCACACTCGATATTGCTGAATGTGTGAGTGCCTCAGATGTCGATAGGGTTATACCAAAACCACATTGCTGGAAAAGTTAGCTTGCCAGTGTAACTGAACTGGACTGGGTCCATCGTCGGCGAACAGGTAGCTAATTGGTAGAGCGTCCGTATAGAGTTCGAAAGGTCCCAGGTTCAAACCCCAGACTGGCTGATTATTTTTTCACTCCGGATCCTGTTACAGTGGTGCCTGTGACCAACCCTTGTTTCAAGCATTTGGTGTATGTTTGGCAAGGGGATACCCGAACCTGGGTTGTAAATAGTTGTGTCTTCAGGGGCGAAGACTTAGAAAAAGGAGAGAGGAATGTAGCGGAACTGGATTGGGTCGATCGTCGGTGATTGGGTCGATCGTCGGTGATCAGTTAGCTCAATTGGTAGAGTGTCCGTCTAGAGTTCGGAAGGTCCCGTGGATGAACCCGGTCTGGCCGTGCACTTTTCCAATTGTGTTACACCAGTTAAGCAGTATTTTCCCCTGGTAATCCTTTGCTGTTATACTTGTTGTTTTCTTTTTCCATAAACAATACAACTGAACCTGTGCTCTTGTCGGATCCTTCTTTTAACATATGCAATGTCGTCTTTCTACATGTGACTTAGCTTGTGCTCTATCTAATGACTAGTCAATGACTCTGCTGGGTACTTAACTGTTACTTGTAACACTAGTGTGAAACCAGGCCGCCTTACAATCACTAGCTTTGAAAGGAAACACATTTAAAGTTGATCATATCCAGGAGGGCCTTTTGGGGAAATCTTTAATGTATATATATTTAAATGGACCTGGGGTTAATCTATGAAAAATTATACTCCTGAAATATCATTGGTGGACATTTTACTAAATTTGGGTTGAATGACCTTGTGTCAAATTAATTTGAATCATGATGTCACATTGCAACTTCATTTGAATTATTACATTGTAAAGCATTGGTAAATAATTTTTCAACCAATGAAAAATACTTCCAGCCTTTTATACCGCAGACGATATACAGCAATTGTCACACCCACTATTTGTTTATTGTACACATTTGAAATGGTGGAACTATGACACAAACATTATTTTATAAAGTGAAACAATTTTTTCTCTATGAAACATTATTAAAAGTATACTACTGCTTATGATGTTTTAGCGGTGGGAAGGAAAGAGGTTCTCCAAAGGTCGCCAGGTCTGTTAACATCTCTACAGCAATGGACTCCACTGTGGCTGACCAGGATGAGAGTTATGCAGTAGAAAATGGCAGCCCAGATTTACCTACCATCAATGAAAGACTTGGTGGGTTTGATCTAATAGTTGTGTAGTAGCTTTATAGGCACATTAGTTGTGGAGAGATGATCTAATGAGTCGTAGATATATACTTGCCTTGAATTATATCTCTTTAAGTCAAGATCTTTTAATATAAAGAGGTGATTGATTTGGTCGCATTTATGATAAAGTTAGGCATGTTTAGTATGGAGAGATGATCAATTTACAATAATATTAGTCACATTAATGAAATGTCACATAATTAAGTCACGTATTGTATTAGTAATGAAAAAATTCCAGATTGAATTTTTTTCTTGTGATATTGTACAAGAATTATATCATTGAATATACTGCAATTACAGGTCAACTTCGTCCTTCAAGAGAATTGCTTGAATATTACCGAAAAAAGATTGCCGAATATGACGAGGAACACGACTTTATGGTCAGCAAATTAGAAGAGTACAAAATCACCTACGAGGAACAGGTAATGTATATTTAGAAAGAAAAAAAGGTTCAGGCTCTGATAGTTGCAAAGTTTCACCTGCGATAAATTATTTGCCTATACTGTACATCGAATATTGAATTTGATGTAGGTAAATGAGTCCTGTCAGGAAGTCATTTAAATTGGTTCAATCCAAATATAATGCATGGTTCATATTTGGATCAGATATCTGTAACGGTTTTTATAGGAGTCATTTCAAGAGTCATTGACCCAAAATGATACAGAATAATATAATATACCAGTATATCTGATTATCTGGTATACTAGAATATTCATATTTTTAGAAAATTAATCATAAACATGATACAGGTATTAAGAAAAATGAAATGAAATTACTTGCACAGGAAAGTCAAACCAGTTTGATATCAGTTAGAGTGAGATTTTTGTATTTCTTTTATTTTTGTGAACAGCATAAGTTACAATGGGAGCTCCGACAGAGGGAGGAGGAGATCGTGGAGCTACAGAAGGCCCTCAGTGATATGCAGATTTACCTGTTCCAGGAAAGGGAACATGTGCTACGATTGTACGCGGAGAACGACCGATTAAAGGTTAATTTATGTACCTGGTATAAAGGTTTCAGCAAATGTCAGTTAACAACAAAACACTGTATTGTATCCATAATTACATTTCTCTTGAAGTCAGTATTTAATGATAGTTCCTTATAGTGCTGCTCTAAAACTTTGGTCCTGGAACCGAATGTGGTATCATTTTCAATAAGATATCAAAGTGATCATACATTATTCAGGGTAGAATTCTCTATCTAACGACTTTTTACATATGGTAGCTTTCTCATTGTCAGTTTTAATTTCATGTTTTCTAGTGCTAGAAGAATAATCACATCATTACTCTTTACCTATATTGTTTAAATACGAGAACTAGAGGAGTTCATCTCATCATTATTCTTTACCTATATTGTTTAAATACGAGAACTAGAGGAGTTCATCTCATCATTACTCTTTACCTATATTGTATAGATACGAGAGCTACAGGTGTTCATCTCATCATTACTGTTTACCTATATTGTATAGATACGAGAGTTAGAGGAGTTCATCTCATCATTACTCTTTACCTATATTGGATAGATACGAGAGCTAGAGGAGTTCATCTCATCATTACTCTTTACCTATATTGTATAGATACGAGAGCTAGAGGTGTTCATCTCATCATTACTGTTTACCTATATTGTATAGATACGAGAGTTACAGGTGTTCATCTCATCATTACTCTTTACCTATATTGTATAGATACGAGAGCTACAGGTGTTCATCTCATCATTACTGTTTACCTATATTGTATAGATACGAGAGCTAGAGGTGTTCATCTCATCATTACTCTTTACCTATATTGTATAGATACGAGAGCTAGAGGAGTTCATCTCATCATTACTGTTTACCTATATTGTATAGATACGAGAGCTAGAGGAGTTCATCTCATCATTACTGTTTACCTATATTGTATAGATACGAGAGCTAGAGGAGTTCATCTCATCATTACTGTTTACCTATATTGTATAGATACGAGAGCTAGAGGAGTTCATCTCATCATTACTGTTTACCTATATTGTATAGATACGAGAGCTAGAGGAGTTCATCTCATCATTACTGTTTACCTATATTGTATAGATACGAGAGCTAGAGGAGTTCATCTCATCATTACTGTTTACCTATATTGTATAGATACGAGAGCTAGAGGAGTTCATCTCATCATTACTGTTTACCTATATTGTATAGATACGAGAGCTAGAGGAGTTCATCTCATCATTACTGTTTACCTATATTGTATAGATACGAGAGCTAGAGGAGTTCATCTCATCATTACTGTTTACCTATATTGTATAGATACGAGAGCTAGAGGAGTTCATCTCATCATTACTGTTTACCTATATTGTATAGATACGAGAGCTAGAGGAGTTCATCTCATCATTACTGTTTACCTATATTGTATAGATACGAGAGCTAGAGGAGTTCATCTCATCATTACTGTTTACCTATATTGTATAGATACGAGAGCTAGAGGAGTTCATCTCATCATTACTGTTTACCTATATTGTATAGATACGAGAGCTAGAGGAGTTCATCTCATCATTACTGTTTACCTATATTGTATAGATACGAGAGCTAGAGGAGTTCATCTCATCATTACTGTTTACCTATATTGTATAGATACGAGAGCTAGAGGAGTTCATCTCATCATTACTGTTTACCTATATTGTATAGATACGAGAGCTAGAGGAGTTCATCTCATCATTACTGTTTACCTATATTGTATAGATACGAGAGCTAGAGGAGTTCATCTCATCATTACTGTTTACCTATATTGTATAGATACGAGAGCTAGAGGAGTTCATCTCATCATTACTGTTTACCTATATTGTATAGATACGAGAGCTAGAGGAGTTCATCTCATCATTACTGTTTACCTATATTGTATAGATACGAGAGCTAGAGGAGTTCATCTCATCATTACTGTTTACCTATATTGTATAGATACGAGAGCTAGAGGAGTTCATCTCATCATTACTCTTTACCTATATTGTATAGATACGAGAGCTAGAGGAGTTCATCTCATCATTACTGTTTACCTATATTGTATAGATACGAGAGCTACAGGTGTTCATCTCATCATTACTGTTTACCTATATTGTATAGATACGAGAGCTAGAGGTGTTCATCTCATCATTACTCTTTACCTATATTGTATAGATACGAGAACTAGAGGAGTTTATCTCATCATTACTATATTGTATTGTATAGATACGAGAGCTAGAAGACAAGAAAAAGATCCAGCAGCTGCTGAGTCTCAGTGGTACCATAGAGAGTGAGATCACCTACTTTCTCAAAGAGCCACCAGCCAAGGCCATTGTTGAACAAAAAACCAAGAACCGCCCACAAAGTGCTGCAGAGATCAGGCAAAACAGAGGTAGTTAGCAGGGGTTAAGTTCTCAGCAAGGCAAGGGATTCCATAGATAACCTCGCACAAATTCACGTTTGTTACATTTCTTATCTCAATTCGTCCATTCCATCATTACAAACCAATTAAAATCTGTTGCAAAAATCAAAGTTTCAGTTCATAGAATAAGTACCTCAATCTATTTAAGACAAAGTTATGAATATGTCAGTTAATGAACAATTAAAAGTGGATAGAGAGACAAACCAGTCTGGGTTCTCTTAGACTGGGATCAGTCAGCTGGGTCCTCTTAGACTGGGATCAGTCAGCTGGATCCTCTTAGACTGGGATCAGTCAGCTGGGTCCTCTTAGACTGGGATCAGTCAGCTGGGTTCTCTTAGACTGGGATCAGTCAGCTGGGTTCTCTTAGACTGGGATCAGTCAGCTGGGTCCTCTTAGACTGGGATCAGTCAGCTGGGTCCTCTTAGACTGGGATCAGTCAGCTGGGTCCTCTTAGACTGGGATCAGTCAGCTGGGTTCTCTTAGACTGGGATCAGTCAGCTGGGTTCTCTTAGACTGGGATCAGTCAGCTGGGTCCTCTTAGACTGGGATCAGTCAGCTGGGTCCTCTTAGACTGGGATCAGTCAGCTGGGTCCTCTTAGACTGGGATCAGTCAGCTGGGTCCTCTTAGACTGGGATCAGTCAGCTGGGTCCTCTTAGACTGGGATCAGTCAGCTGGGTCCTCTTAGACTGGGATCAGTCAGCTGGGTCCTCTTAGACTGGGATCAGTCAGCTGGGTCCTCTTAGACTGGGATCAGTCAGCTGGGTTCTCTTAGACTGGGATCAGTCAGCTGGGTTCTCTTAGACTGGGATCAGTCAGCTGGGTCCTCTTAGACTGGGATCAGTCAGCTGGGTCCTCTTTGACTGGATGTGATTGTTCCTAGCTTTTTTTCTTCTTATACTTAGTCACATCCATAAAGAGATCCTTTCCTGACCGTAGTGTGTATAAGTACTAGTGTATTTCATTGTTTTCAAATTTCTCATGAAAAAAATACTTTTGGATTCATTTTATCTGGTAAAAGTGGACTTCAATTTGAAGCAAACAATAGACTATATTTTAGTATACATGTATAACTAATTGCTGTTAGTTACAAACCTGAGCTGGTTAATAGGGCTTCATATTTCTATTTACAATTTTAAACAGGTCTGAAAAAGAAGCAGCTTCCTTTATCAGAGAGGAGACAGTCTATGTCACCAAACCCAGAGGAGAAATACAAACATGACAACGAGGTGCTAGCCCTACAAGTCGAGGCTCTACAAGCCCAGCTCCAGGAGCAAACCAAGATTGCCAAGGAGCAGACGGAGGCCTTGACTGAGGACCGCAAGGTTAAGGAGGAAGAAATGACCACACGACAGCAGAGAGACGAAGCCAAAATACATACTCTTACAGAGAAGTAAGTCGAGCTAATTGCACGAAGGAAAACAATTCTTCCAGAAGAAACCTTTCTAGAAAGATAACTCTGGATTAAAAGAAATCCCAAACATCATAATGTTATTAAGATGTGCATGAACAAAGAAAATTTGCAAATAGATTATTTTTCCTGGAGTTATAGCCCTTAAAACAATTTCTGCTCCAGAAACCTTGTAAGTGCAACTCCTCCTTAACTGTTACGTTGGTGGTTTTTTTTGTAACTTGGCACAGAGAAAGAACATCATATGTACTTGAACATGAAGGAAGAGATTTGTGATTAGGGTAGGTATGATACTTCCTGCAAACAAAGTTTGAATACATAGATAAAATGAAGCGAGAGTAAATCTTTGTGAGTTTGTTTACAGGTTCTCTACTTTAAATTAAGTTAATGATTTTATTGTATATAATATCTCGGAGATATTGGATCAATAAAAAGTTCAAAATAATTTGGTTTTGACTCTTTCCCCATGTAGACTTTTTGAGATTGTGCTGCATTAACTTGAAAAAAAACCTAAAAGTGATGTTGTCATATATCAGATCTACTGTACATTTATTTTTTGTGTGCATTTTTTTCTTTATTGTCCGGAATGAATTAATATAACAAGGAAACAAATAACTGTGCCTTTATAAAGTGCTTGTCTTTAAATCAAAATTTCAATACAAACAAGATATTTGTGTGTTACGAAGTATTTACAGAATAAAAAATCTTCTTAAAGAAGTTAAGTAATCACAATCTTGCTTTTGAACAGTGATTCGGTTTTATAAATTAATCTTTAACATATTAGAGGAATGATGATATTTAATCATGTTTAAGTTAATATGTTCTATTAAAGATGAAAAAAGGAGAAGGATATAATCTTTACACTAGAATACTGATCAGTTGGTGGTCGATCGGTTAAGGCATCTGACATTCTGCTACCACTAGCCCCCAACACTTTGTCGCAGGTTCGAGGCGTATGTTGGGCAGTCTCCAGGTACTGGCGCAGGTTGTTGGTTTTCCTCCACCACCAAAACCTGACACCTCCTTAAATGACCACAGCTGTTAATAGGACAAAAAACACAAACAAACCAAACAAAACCGATCAGTTGTCAAACATCAAAACATAATTTGCCAGCATAAATTCAGGTGTTATATTAAACTGTTCTATTACCAAATGTGTTATTTTGTTTGGCCTTAATACAATATTGTCTCTCTAACTATTCAGTTGGTAAATTCACTCATTTGCAGACTGCATAAAACACAAGACCTGTTATACGAGAGCACGAAGGACTTCCTAGAGCTGAGGTACCAGGGCAGGGCCAATGAGAGACAGTGGATGGCTGAGAAAGATTGCCTTCTCAGGGAGATGGACGGCTTCAAGCAGCAGCTCAATATATCTAAGGAATCTGTCTTGAATGTGACAGATGGCGGCACATACGAAGGCAGAGCTCATTACATAGAAGAAACTAAGGTAGGTATTACATACAGTGGAATCTGTATTGAGCGACCACCCAAGGATTTTTTTTTTTTAAACGACGTTTATTTAAAGTGGTCGTTTAATAAAGTTTGACCATATTTTGTACAGAATTACACAACTGACTATAACCAAACGACTCCTTGTTCAGACAACTGTAAACAGACCACCACCTCGAGCGCACATCTACACATGTATGTACAGGTAGTTTAAAACAACATCGCTCACCAGATCAGGTGAATACTTACACAACTGTTTTCGGTAATAACCATAGTTTAAGCTAACTTGTAACAACAGCTATTGTTGTTGAAATGATAGCAGTTCCTGTGGTGGTCCAACAGATGGGTTCATGTATATTATTCCTTTATTTTACGATGGAAACTTGAAAGAGAATCCAGCCAAGAAATTGACCTAAATAAAGCCGATGAGGAATTAGAAATTATATGTATGCTAACATAAACATGTTAAGTGTGCAGTTGCGCTGATATTTAATGTTAATTTCGCATTAGAATGTTGTCTTGATTATCTCTAAACAGACCCGATTTCAAGAATGAAAACCGGCCAGTTTACTTCATCCAATCAGATGAAGGATGACGTAGGGTTAAAGGTTACATTGCCTAGCAGGACACTCGTGCAATCAAAATGTTTTTGCTAAACTGCGATAAATATCAGTCTGTATTTTTACTGATAAATTAACAAAATCGGCAGTTAGAAAAATGACTTTTTATTTGTTTCTGCACATCAATGAATATAATATAAATTTGGAAATTGGTTTTGTCCAATATGTTCACTGAAATTGGTGAAAAGATCGTTAAGTACCGGGTAGTCCTTCGTCAAATGTGGTGACGGTCGCAAATTTGGAGTTACACAACTATTTCACTGACCGTTTGGTTTATTTTCGTCAAACATGGTCGCTAAAATGTACCAAATGTGGTCATTTAAACGTAATTTTCGGTTCAGTATAAGGTGGTCGCTGGTCGCGCTTGATAGATAGATGGTCGCTTAATACAGTTAAATAACATAGTAAAAACGATCGGGAGGAATGAAAAGTGGTTGCATAAAACAGATGGTTTTCTACAGAAATGTGTGGGTAGCAAAGTTTTTCCAGTTTCTACTAAAATATGTTTGGGTTTGGGTTATCCAAATTCTACTGAAATATGAAGTGTATGGTGGTGATCTGGCAAGGTTTTCTCTTCAAAAAGGCATGAAAGTCTATCGACTGCAACAGATTACTGTACATGTACACCCATCACCATGACTCTCTAAAATGACATTTAATGACAGATTTCTGGTAAATGTACAAGATAATACATGTCTCTTCCTCAGGTTCTAACATAGATTAAACGGGATACAGTCTCTAATGTTGATTTCACTTTCCAGGCACTTGAGTACCAGCTGCAACAGTCGCAAAAGCTGGCAGAGATGTACCGGGAACAGGTGATACAGTTAGAGGATGAGTTGTCGCGGATACGGGAGGAAGGGGACGTAACTAGGGAGGTCTTCAAGGTACGGATATCATCCTCTCATTGTCAGTACAGGTGTTTACCATGTCGTTTCACTAATGGTTGTTTGTGTCACCATTGTAAACAGCACTATATTGATTTCTTGCGGTACGACCTATTGAATCAAATTAGTTTGTATCTTTACTAGTTTTTAGTTTAGATTTAGTGTAGGCATCAAAAACAAAGATTTATGTGTGCTACTATCAAGTATGAAAAAACTATGATTACATTTTCATTGGTGATGACAGGGTCGCAGTGATAAGATGACAAAGAGGCTGACGATGATGAACCAACGGTACCAGGACCTCGAGCGCAGGAGGAACCTTGAAGTGGAGGGTTTCAAAAATGACATCAAAAATCTGCGATCCAGGCTGAAGGATGTAGAAAGGCAACTGTACAAAGTGAGTAGGGTGGTTTGGACATCCCAGTTGCACATCTTTTACTACAAAAATATATGTATTTTGAGCTGCGTTGTCCTGGCACAACATGGTACTAGTCACTGGTCGTCCCTGCATTTGATTGTGCATCTCAAGCAATACCTTAAATATATTTGACTGATTACTTTCAAATTTGGCACTATATCAGCAGTTAGAGAATAGGGATTATTGCCCCTTACATAAAACTGTACGTTGTCCATGTAACTCAAATTTTATTTTAGTTATGTAAAGGTTTTCCTACAGCAGTGTAAGGCGGGAATGACATTGACAGATCAAGGTTTTTGTTCTTTATATATATATATGAGGCCATCAAAATCTCCCAGATTTCATTTTCTCAAGTCAAAATGTCTCATATTGTTTAGGGCTTTTACATGAAATTGTATGCAACTCAAGTTTGTTGTGTCAATAAATAAGGAATAAATGACGTTAGACACTATTAAAACTTAAAGGAGTGTTTTATATTACATGTAGTAGCCAATTAGTATTTAATTAAAGACCTTAATTTCATATATTTTATAGTTTATATGTGTATATGGTCATTATTGGATGATTCGTTACAGAATCACGACCTTAAATGACCTTAGCTGTTGTTAGGATGCTAAACCTTATAGACCAAACCATGTTACAGAATCAGATTACCTGTTAATGCAAATTTTTACAACACTTCAGGTAACAATGGGCTTCGCCGAGGACATGGATATGAAACGTCCTGATGATATTGACATGCAGATCTTAAGGAATGTACACGCCACTGCTGGACGATCGAAGAAAATTGTTGGAGAACTGAAAAACCTCAAAGCCAAAATGTACGGCATTGAAAACAACTTAAAGCATCTGTGATATATTGGATCGTTAGATTGTGAGAAAAATGTGAGTAAGAATGCGCAAGTAGGAAATATTTGGGATGAGAGTGTTTTGTGTTTGTAAATGGGAATGATTGCAGCGATCATTGAGAGAGAAAACAGTTTTTCCCACATGCTCCCCTTCAGAAGCAATTTTTCTTCACGTGGAGTTGTGTACTTTGTGAGGCGTTTAAAATTTGATTTGCTCTGATGCATTTGTATTAACACATCCCAGTGGACTTAGCTTTGATCAGGTTATCTCCCTTCTTCTTTAATGTTTTATGCAATGTTCAATGGGGTCTGTGTGGAAGAGAAACTGGAATCATGAGTTTATTTATTGTCAAAAACTTGTGAATGTCTGTGTAGACCTAACTCAGGATGAATCAATGTCTTGTCTCTTAAACATTCCATATCAGTGATTAACCCTTTCACCCCTAGGTAACTTTAGTAGACTCTACCATCCATTTATCTGGATGAGTCCATTGTGGTCCACAGTGGTGAAAGGGTTTGGGGGATTTACAAACTGTTGTTGTGGAAACTAACAGTTGTTCAGATGTGGTTGACTACACTTACCATATTGAGTCTAAAAAACAACATGGCCCCAGTTTCTCAAATGTTGGTTTAGACATTAATCAGTGGATAGTGAAAATTCAAATTGTCAAAAGGGCTTCTGAAGTTAAAAAAAGTCCTCAAAGCACATCGTAAGTCTTATCTGTCTCAACAAATGTGTACCAGTGAAAAGATATCAAGATGCTCTAGATTTTGTTGTATTCATATTAGAGTTTATTCCTAACCACTGGTTATCTCAAACTCAGCTTTGTGCAACTGGAGTATTCCGTCTTTTCGTATTGCAGAGTTATCTGCTCTTGTGAGCAGGTATTAATTGTTACGTCATTTGTTTGTGAGAGTAACATCAATTTTTGAGAAAATGACGTAATTTTCTCACAGAACCCAATGACGTAACAATCAATACCTGCTCACAAGAGAAGATAACTCTGCAATACGCAGACGGAATAGGTGCCTAGCAGTTTGGGAAAATTAGGATGAGTGCAGGGTCTTCCAAAATTCTCCAAAAATAGTCCTGTTTTACACTTTGAAGCATATGAAAATTTTGGAATGGTGAAAAGAAAGACTGTTGTAAAGGAGGGCCATTAATAGATAAGATATGTTACAAAGTAGTTTGGTTGTCATCCTAGCAGTAACTATGTTAGCTGGTATCAGCCAGTAGTCCCACTACTGAACACCTAAGTAACAGGTGGTAGATACAGATTGTGATCCTGTATCTAATGTGAATCTCCTACTTGGCTATTATAGAATCATTGTCCGTCCATTCTAGCTATAGCAGCATCTTATAAGATGCGGACCGATATTTGTAAAACATGCATGCACACCATTAGTACACACTGTAGACATTGGTGCATGTATGGTCTATATGTATAGGTAAATGAACGTTTATCCCTGTAAATTGTTTGTATCATAGATTTGTACACTTGATAATGTATTTATAGAAATTATATCATGTATGTAGAGATTCTGGTAATAACTACGATGACAAAATAAAATCTAAATCTTATTACAACTCTGTTTTTGTTAGCTTTTTTCAGAAACAATCAACACGTGTGTGTATTATGGCAATTTATATATTGAGGGTGAGAAAATATTGGCAAAATAATTGATGAAGGCCACTTTGGCACGAGTTGATTATTTTTCCAACATTTTTTTTTAATCTAAAGTTATGTATTTGACCATTATGTACTAATATAAGCTAATTATATATATCTATTCTACCACATGTCGGTGGATGGAAGGCAAGTTTACCTGGATACTCTATTTGAATTAGATTATTTCATGCTGCATTTTCATTTTTGCAAGTCGATGTCACATCTGATGTCATTATTTTGGAAACTGCAGGAAGTTTGAAAAGAATTAAATGAAAAAAGATAACATGGAAAAATATTCACATCAAATAATATGGGTCCGTTTCCAAATTCTTACAAAATATCACTGAATTTTGCATATCGCATCAGTCACGGTCCTCCTTACATACTGTGATATGTTGTAGAACTAGACTGGAAAGGGGCCTAGGTAGCTAAATTGGTTAATGTGACTTTCTTAGCTTTCGGAGGTCCACATTTTTGTATCCGTGTCTGGCCGTGCATTCTTCTTCTCCTGTTACAAGTATGCCTGTGACCAACCGTCGTTTTAAGCACTAGGTGTATGGTTGGAAAGGGACTATTTCCAGCTATTTTAAAGTTACATAGGAGCCTCCCCCCTCATAACTTTTGTTTAAGAAGTACTACAAGATTTTTGCTGCTGTTTACCTTTTTCAATCCCTTATACTTCTCGAGTTATTACTTTGAAATAGCTCTACTAATTATTTAGATGATTAATTAACCTAATTACAGCATGGGGGTCGAAAAATGGAATATTAGCCTGAAAGTATTTTTCAGGAAAAAATCATATTATTTGCATCGTAATACTTTGAAAAGAACATTTTCTTTCGTTTAGTGCTTTTATAATATATTTATCATCCAGAATGCAAGTTTAATCGCACATTTTGAGAAAAATTTAATGTAAAGTATAGGATTTTTCAAATATGTATGCAAAAATTCAGTCCAAAAAAGTCGTTGAAAGTATTCATTTCGCACCACAAAGTACCCTGTTTATCCAAAAAGGTGAGGGCCTAAGACACCTCCCTGGTGTTCACCAAAAAGCAATGCACATGATTACAGGTAATTGGTAATGAAATTCGTTGCAATTTGTACATTTTGTTATCAATTTTTATACATTTTATCATCAGACTTTTGTTTTTACATCGCTTTTAGGGGAAAATGTAATGCTCATTTGTTAATATTCATCACATAATGGAGATTAAATGCATTGGTGAAGGTAGCCTTCGTATCTTCGCGAAATCTCGTAAATGTAAAATGCACACAAAATGTTTAAAAAAATCCATAATATAAATGGCTTTATGATATACTGACTAAAAAAGGCATAGATTGCTGAAATGAAGGGGATAGTATTTGTCCGAACTGCTACATAAGGAATCTGAAACAGCACGTTTTGAAGATGAAACTACTAGAAGTTTTCCTCTCTTAACAATCAAGGACCTGTTTTACGGGTCCTGTTCACATATAAAATGTTGTCTTTGTTTTAACAATCTTAAACCGAAAGGAAGAAAATCCACACTCCTGTAAAAACGTGGCATGCATAAATTCATTTTCACACACATATTATGGTGTTATTCGTCATCACCTGTATGCTCATTTCATCTTATTGGCAACGACCTGAACCCTTGTACACAGGTTATCCTATAAGGAAGAGAGTCTTTGAATTCTCAATTATGAAGTAGGTCATCTGAAATATTTAGAAGTGTCGTACATCTTATCAAAGAATCAATCAGCCTTCACTCTCAATTTTTGTCTCTTGGATGACCCTGGCTGCAAAACTTGGACAAGTTGGTCAAAGAACAGTTTCTCAAAACCCATTCGTACTTGGTCCAATTTCTTTCTTCTTCAGCATATACCAAAACTACACAAAATGCTCTTTCACTGTTTTTGGTCAATATGAAAACTGATTTCTTGTAATTAAGTGTTCCGCTCTTTTTGGCATTTCCCTGACTAGTATTTGAAAAAAAATCTTTTATTTTGTAGTACAAGCATTGAATAAATCTATAGTTTCAGTGTTCCTTGGACCTGACCATTTGAGTAGGGAACATACACTTTCACACACTACTTTATTCTCAGAAGCATTCTTTGGAGACAAAGTGACAGCCTTAATAGATGGTACATATATTTATATTCAAAATGTGCTGTCAATAAGCTCCAGATAATGTCTTACGGTGGCCAGAAGGAGCGTACTTATTTTAAATTTATGAGCATAGCTTTACCTGATGGCTACATTTTGGACACAGTAGGACGATTCTCTGGAAGCCAAATGATGCAAACATTACAAAAACATCATAGACAAGCTCACATGGTTGGAGCAAGACGACAATGTAGTCGTTGGTCGTAGTTTTAGAAATGTCCTGCCAATGTTAGAGGTATCTGGTATTAACACCAGTATGCACTCATATCTTAGACTGGTCAGACACTCTGATATACAGGCTAACATTGACAGAACAGTTACTAAATCCTGATGGATTGTAGAGTCTTTTCATGGCTGCTTAAGCATTTGATATTTTTTAGAACTCAATTAATATCAAATTGCTTCATTGGTATAATTGAGAAAGTGATAAAGATTGCGACTGCATGTCTCAATTGGATACGGGGACCAATTTATATCAAAGATCATCGAAAACTGACAGAAAAGACAGAGAACTCGCACATCAAATGCAGTTTCTACTTACAAAAATAAACTGTTTGGCTGAGAGGGTGAAAACAACCAGCCCTCTCCAAGAAAGCAAAGTCAGAAATCGTAAAGGTTATGACATATGGGTTAATCAGCACTCTCAAGACATCATCCGTTTTCAGATTTGTTCCAGACATAAAAGCCAGACTAAATATAATGTTTGAATTCAGTACAGCACGGCACCAAATGATAATAATCCAATAAAAGATTACTACTGCCAAAGTTTGAAAAAAACCCTCAAAGACTCCTTTTTTCTTCTTCTTTTTCCAAGTCTGCCATTCGAACACATATGCGTCTTGCAAAACATTATCTGTAAATGTCATCAGCTGTTAATACGCATTATTTGATGAATATATATATTAAAAGTGAAATAATGATCTGAAAGTCAAGTGGTAAATTAATTGCTGTTTCAGTTATCTTTCAATTATAGGCTGTCTTGTTACCCAGGGCAGGGAGATATAAATTGTACAGCTGTCAGGCCACCTGGCTTGGTGGCCGTTTACATATGTCAGATAAGCTTAATTGATGACCTCTACGGACAAAGGGAGGCACAACTTATTTCACGCCTATTTTCATCTGTTATTGTTTAGTTAATTAATTGTCATGTAAAGGTATATTGAGAGTATCCTGTATGTAACAAGGCAGTTCCATTGTAAGCCTCTGAACTAGGCACACGTCTACACTTACCTTCAAGTCTAATACAAAATAGTACCATACGATTGGAGTTTATTGTTTGTACTACAGTATCCGGGAATCTGAGGGTAACAAACTGGTGGCAGCGGTAAAGGATTTTTATCAAGTTTGGGACTCCGTTATTATTTAACGAACTTGATAACAGAACAAAATGCCTACAGGAACAGGAGATGGAGAGACTGCCGATGCAGCTCAGAAATTATCAGCTGCTCAGTCGAAAGTGGAGATAAGAAAGCTTGAACTTCAAGCTGAAGTTGAAAAGGAAAAGATTCAACTAGAACGAGAAAAGCTACAACGTGAAGCAGAAGCAGAACGAGAAAAACTACAGATAGAAGCTGAGGAAAGAAAACATCGCCTTGAAAGGGAAGCTGAACGGGAAAAAGTTGCAGCAGAGCTGAAACTTAGAATGATGGAGTTAGAAGTTGAGAAACTTAAACTGGAAAACAAAACCAACAGCTCCGTACCATGCAGGGTGAAACTTCAACCCTACAACCATCAGGCAGGTGAGGACATAATAACATACCTTGCCGAGTTTGAGGCTTTGTCTTCACAAGCTGGGTGGACTACGGACATAAAAATGTTTCAGTTAAGAAGTCTACTAACAGGTGAAGCGCGGGAAGTGTCCACTCAAGTGCATAAATCCTATGAAGAACTTTCCAAGGCCTTGATAGAAACGTATGGGAAAAAGCCATACCAATACTTCAAAATGCTCCTGAAGGTCCAAAAACAACAAAAAGAGACATACAGGGGACTTATGGCAAAAGTGAAACAATATATTACAAGGTTCCTGGAAGACAGTGGAGATGTTGTTAGAAATTAGAGGAGGAATTTTTCCTCAATGCCCTTCCTGTGGCACAGGCACAATGGATCCGTAGAAACAAGGGATCTGGAAGTGTTGTTGATGCGGCGGAGGATTACATTTTTCAATGAAAAATATGAGATGTTATAACTGTAACAAAACGGGTCACATTGCAAGGAAATGTCCAAAGGCCAGCAAAAACAACATCATTAATTTGTTAGTCAACCATCATTCTAACGACCTAGTTCACTTACCAGGTGAGGTGAATGGGAGGGACATTAGTTTCGTGAAGGACACGGTGCAATTATGACACTGATAAGGGAAGATTTAGTCGACCCTAAGTGTGTATTGGAGGGTCAACGGCAGACTCTGTACACAGCTATAGGTCAGCCATTTTCGGTAAAATTGGCTGTTGTAGACATGGACACGCCATTCTACAAGTGACATGCCCAAGTTGGGTTGGTACCTGACCCGGGTGCAGAGGCATTGTTGGGTATGGATATCATGGACCGGAGAGCAGTCAACATGGTTACCAGGGGACCAAGACGACAATTAGATAAGGATGAATTAGAGGCTTCTCAGAATATAAACATGGATATATCAGGAAAATCCGGACTGTCAGAAAACGATGATTATGCCATGGAAAGTGAGCTAAACTCACTTAATAGTGATGATTTAACTCAGGAGGAGGAGCCCGAGAAAACAACTCAAGAAGAGACACCAGAAGTGGTTAACAC